GATTCCATATGTGTCTGGAGTATCAGAGAAACTCAGAGATAACGACCCCACTGAGGTTAAATAGCTGAGTTTCCCTGCCAGTCAGTCAGAACTGAAGAAGTCCTTTGGATAAGGGACGAAACGTCTTCCAGTAGCTTCAACCAAGTCCAGTTGCCCTTCATTTTAACCTTCGTTGGATACAAACAAATACATTTTTACAAATGCCTGGCAAAGGCCTGAAGGTCGTTTGATGAAAACGAATGAGAAAAATCTGACACAGCAAGGAAGCTAGGGTTTGGGGAAAGAAAAAAAAATAAAGGCAAACTAAGACTCTGTTGCTAGTTGAGGATGTACACCTAGCTGAAAGGAATGCAGTCTAATGCAACAGTGCTGCAATAAATCCTATCGTCACTACTTTTTTTAGAGAGGAGTTGATTCAGTTCAATTCAATTTTATTTGTATAGCGCCAAATCACAACAACAGTTATCACAGAGCGCTTTTCATAAAAGAGCAGGTCTAGACCGTACTCTGTGATGCTATTTACAGAAGCCCAACAGTTCCCACCAAGAGCAAGCACTAGGCGACAGAGGCAAGGAAAAACTTCCGTTGAAGAGGCAGAAACCTCGAGCAGAACCATGGCTCAGGGTGGGCGGCCATCTGCCTTGACTGGTTGGGGGTGAAGGAGAGAGAGAGAGCGAGAGAGAGAGAGGGCAAGAGAGGAACAGAGAGAAAGAGAGAGAGGGATGGAAGGAGAGAGAGAGGGGAGGGAGGCAGCCTACACAATATACACACAGAGGTACAGACAGTAAAGGTGATGTTGCTATAGACTAAATGAAAAATGGTAGAGCAATTTATAGTAGTGTAAATGATAATAATCGTAATGTTAATGATTATAATAACAATAATAGCAATAGGACTAGTAACAATAGTTGTAGCAGAAGGTGTTGAGCAGGAACACGGGAGTCAAGCCGGGGGATAGTCAACTTTATAAACATTTTGGAGGATGTAGTTGGTGGTGCTGTTGAACCTAATAAACTGAAAAATGACTGTTTAACATAAGTATAACAGTTTACACTAGAAACAACAAGTATTTCAACTAATAGTGTTAACATGCAACAAAAATGCAGCAGAACCAACATATGATTTCAACATATATCATTCTGCTGATAAACTGTATCATGGTATTGAAGAATTTAAATGCCTAAAAAAAGACATATCAAACAAAGAAATAAAGTTAAATACTATGAAATGTTGCCATGGATGCTTACAGGTATTTTGATTGGCCAACACTGTGCAGCTCTGATTGATTTTGCCAGTGCTGCACCAATATACAGTATTGGACTGTTGGAGTATTAATGATAAACCTGATTATGACCAAGCCTGTAACAACTTCTGGTACTTGAAAAACAACCAGTGCTACAGACATAAGTCAACTGGTCCTCAGAATGTATTGTGTAGTTGGTTTTGCTGCATGTGTGCCTTTAAAAGCATTAATTAGCGTTCTTGAAGGCGAATGAAGGGTGAAATTCTCAGGTTTGAGTGCCTGGCTAGGATTTGAAATATATAATTGGAAACTAATCATCCACGTGTTTCAAACAGTTTTTTGTCTAAATATCAGTTAGATGCCCAGGAGATACTGTATATACCGGATCTAATGCGATCAGACAGAAATAAACGAGTGCATGGCCCTCGGTGTGTGTGGGAGCCTGTCTGTGGCCTCGATCCTGACCCAAACTTAGACTCTTCTTTAATCCCCAAGTAATTTTAGGTGCCGACTCCTAAGAACTTTGGATGATGAGGAGACAGGAGATGAAGAAGGAGGAGGAGGAGGAGAGAGGCGGGGAAAGAAAATACCACATGAAAAAACAGACAAATAAAACAAGTGGAATGAAAATGTAAGAGCAAGAAACGGAGATTTAAAGGAAGAGAACCAAAGCAAGAGTAATTGATGATACCTCCTTATTTATTTTCTGCTGTGTTTGCTGTATTTTTGTACAATTTGGACAAAGGTCTCTATTCCCGTTTCAGGTTCTAACTCCTGAAGTTGGAGTTACTGTAGAGAAATCAAGCTATCTGTGTGACAGTACAATGTGATCACGTATCATGTTTGGTGTCTTTATGCCAGCTACATGCCAGGGAGAGAGACATTTATTCTAATGGGATGAGGCAGACGATTATGAGTGTGGTGCCCAGTGCGTGCGTGCGTGTGTGTGTGTGTGCGTGCGTGCGTGCGTGCATGCGTGCGTGTGTGTGTGTGTGTGTCAGGACGTCTGTGCCCTGGCATCCAGCTTAATCCTACAAAGATCTTACTTGATCTTGCTGTATTTATCTCTTCAGACAAACTGAACCACATGAGGACATGTTGTGTTAGGTTTCGGATTTGATTGCATTTGACCTAATCTTTATAAACAGATATCTGCATAAGAAGGCACAATCTGTGGGCAAGGAACAAGATTTTGGTATCCAAAGCATTCTGGTTTGCTTGTAGTAGTAGCTTTGGCTGAAATACGGTCTGGAAACCGATCGGCTATCATCGATTTAGCTTTTTATCAGTCTCGGAGCACTATAGATTAGCATTTTATTATCTTTTTAAAAACTTAGACAATGGGTTTCAAGATTGCAAATACTTTGATGTTTTTGAACCGAATAGTTACAGCAATCATGCGAATGAATAAAATACTTCTTACTTTACTACTACGATTTCCCTATTAAGTGTGGAAACAATATAGAGCCCTATGCATGTGTTATTTTTGACACTGATGTGTTCCTTAGGTAAAATCAAAGAAAGAAACCACTAAAGTCTGTTATTATAAATTGCTATAGGTAATAAGTTATTAGTGGTGAACTAATATTCGTTAACAAACGTCTAATTGAAACGCTGTTGCAGTTTAAAGTGTTAAAGTCATCACAGGTTTCATCAAATACGTTAACGTCAGGGACACAACAATAACACCCAGAAATATGCAAAGTATATCTATGGCCAAAATCATAATTTAAGAGTTTATACGTTTTTAATTGATTGCATGAATGAACTCACCCGTGACTCCGACGTTTAGGTGCATACCGCCATCTACTGTGCAGGAGTGTGTAACACACATAATTCGCAATTTCCATTTTGACACTTGAAACTACGTTTAAAACTATCTTTCTACCAGATTGCTGGAACAGCATTATAATAGCACTATCATTAGCATGACAGTCTTCATTTATCAGTTCAAAAACACCAAAGAACGAGGTAGAAATAGGGAACAAGACGGAAGCTTTTATTTTGAAATGTAGAAATTAGCAATAGGCACCAGACGAGAGGGCATGAGACGGGAGGCTCCAGGCTGCTGCCATACCCGTCTCATTTATTTCAAAGGTCTGGCTTCCAAACGGTGCTTGTTGTTTTTATTTACAGACATTAAAAGCCAGAGAAGGCAATTAAATTATATAATTATAAACTCCACACTTTCTGTGGTCTCAGTTGAAAATGTTAACATGACGATTTTCTTGACCAGAAATATAAAATCAGGGTCTTTGATGACTTGTTTTGTTTGTGTCACTCCAACATGTTGAGACATTTGACAAAGACATCCTGCATTGTGGAGTGAAAGAACTTTATAGAGATTCTCCAGTTTTCATTTTACACCCAAAAAGAAACAATATACATAACAAGAAGACAAAACTAAGTTTAATTGTCAAAATTTTAAAACATTGTTTTTGCAGATTTTATACCAGCCATCACACTGTTTTAAATATTAAAAATATTTGTATATCAAACTGTTTGTTTATCATTCTGGGCCCTGAGCTGACCATGATGTTGCTTCTCTAATGGCCACCTTTAAGCAATGTTTCCTTGTAACCTGAGCTTAACATTTAGAAAATGTCATCTCTTTGGTCAAGTAGAAACTCTTCCTTTGCAAAGGCCAACGGTACTCTTGAGACTGAACCTGCCCCTGTTTGGCCTCTCTGTTTCATGGAGGGATTCTGGCAACAGCCACACAGTCTGCTGTGCCAGGGACAAGAAGGCTGTGTGTCCTTTCCCAAACTGCCTCAAAGCAGAGACGAAATGGGACAAGTCCCCTGAGAAGTCAGATAAAGACCATAGAAAAAGTGCTCCAAAAAGAAAGAATGAGAGAACATGGAGATGAGGAGATACAGTGTGTGTTTGTACATGTAACTTTCAAGAATGAAAACACCGGCTAAATATGAACATTGCAGTGGTAGTACCTGTGCCAGGGTCCCATGCTTTTCCAGGTCAGGGGTTCAGCAGAAGGATACACCTGAATGCATAGCTCCTGCTGTGGTCTGGAACATTCCTCCGGGCTTCAGTAATGACCTCCTAATGGCACTAATGAGCCTCCACAGAGGAGCCGTGCTCCACATGGGTCTGGTGGAAAGGAGAGGGGAGCGAGGGCAAGGGGGGGGGGGGACAGATAGAAATTGGGAGAAAGTAGGATGGCATTGAGAGATATATCGGGATATCACTTGGTATCTCTCTTTAAACATTAACCACACTGTAGGTGCCATGTACAGATTTCATTCTGAAACTATTGATGTTAAATTTTAAACTATAATGTTTTGTTTACAGGCAGCATGGTTTCTTTGTATGTCTGTAATAATGTCTAGTTTTCCAAGGAAGGTTAAAATGAAGGAACTGGACTTGGTTGAAGATACTCAAAGACGTTTCGTCCCTCATCCAAGAGACAGTTCCGCCTGACTCATCTATTTTTACAGCTAACTCAGCCATTTTATCTCTGTGGGGTCTTGTCAAAGATGATCAATACCACTGCTTTGTTAGTGCTCCTGGATGTTGTAACGAGAGTTGTTATGGTTGTTCGAGCCAACCCTGATTTTAACCTTCCTTTGGTAACTATGACCTGAATGACTGAGAACCTTCACAGACAGTGTCTAGTGTTTTTCAAATTCAACAAGCAGATTGTAATTTAATCTCTTCTTCCCCATGTCTTTCTCATCCTATTTCTCTTCTTGCCCTTTCTACCCTCTCTTGTCTTGTCTTGATGCTGTTGTATGTGGAGGTGAGTTATCCATGGGCGAGTTCCAGGATCCCTTCCTCGTCAGCATCCACCTCATTGCCGACCCTGGTCAGGGCAAGTTCCTGCAGCGCGCTGCTGATGCTGTGCTGGCGTGGGTTCACCCTGAGCTGCAGCTCTTCCGAGTCTCAGAGCGGGCCTCCGTCTGCCAGCGGCACTGGCCTAAGCACCATCAAAATGGCAGCCCGACTGCAGCCTGCCAGCCGGCCCTAGCAGTTATCCTATTCTTCCAGGAGGCATACGGTGGCGAGGAACAGATACTGATGCTGCACCGCACTCTGCAGAGGCCACCTTGGCGCTACCACCACACTGAAAAAGTCAGCAATAGCCGGCGGATGCTACCGCTGACACCATGCAGTCAGGACTTTTTCACTCTGTCTCCTGGCACGCCGCTCTGGGCGGTGCGGCAGGTCCATTATGGGAAAGAAATCGTGCGATTCACTGTTTATTGCCGGCATGAAAACTATGTCTACATGGTGCGGCTTTACAAGCTGCTGCTTCAGAGGAGGGTAGCACAGAAGAAGGAGGATTTTTGCTTCTTTGTGGTGTACTCCAACCCAGAAATGGAGATCCAGCTGTCTTTTAAGAGGCTCCCACGAGGTCAGAGTCCAGTGGTGCTGGACTCGGCAGTGATGGAGGTGAGGGTACGAGATGTCGGGGCACTGGTGCCCCTGCTGCCACACCCCTGCAGCCCTATCAGTGAGGTCCGCTGGCAGACAGAGGACTACGATGGAAATAAGATCTTGCTGCAGGTGAGAGTACTTTCTGTTGGTGCCAGTTTATACCTGCACCAAATAAATCCATTCTCCATTTTTGAATTTTCGAGTGACAAATACAGTATAATACACTATATAGTAACATGTGGCCTTTTGAAAGCACTTTAACCTTTTGCTCGTAACTCCTGAAACATAAGGCTTAGAAATAAAATAATTTTTCCCTGATTTCCTTGGATCAAGACAAATCTGTCACTATATCAATTTCTGTTATTACAATAACAAGTGAAGCTCTTTTCTCAGTCAGAGCACTGTAGTCACCAGGTTGCAGGACAGAATTACAGAAAGAAGGCCTGTTTACTTATTCTATATCTGTGTTCATAAATGTGTATAAGAAAAACAGAGGGAAAAGTCAGTGTCTTGGGTGAAAGAACAAGAGAAGCAGAGCGAGAGAGAACTGAAGGAAAATGGGTGTAAAACAAATTCTGCAGCCAAAAATAACAAACTCATACAGCAGACAAAGCACCATAGCGTCTCCTAAATTTGTATCCATCCAACCATAAATGTATGTTCATCCATCCTTCATCCAGACTGTCAAAAGTGTGCACACATCTAACTGTTCAAAAATGATCAAACAAAGATGTATATCACTAGCAAACGTGTGTGAATGAACGCACGCACACACACAAAATGGTCCTTGTTTGGAGGGTATCGGTTTCATTGGGGATGTGTGTCCAGGCAGTGGCAGATAAGTAGTTTTGAAAGTTAAAGCCGATTAAGCAGCAGGTCATTAGTGGGAGTGAAACAGCACTGAGGGAAACAACAAGCTAATCTATCATGACAATGGACCATATGCATGATGCTTAACTGCCACCTGGCCTAAAGTCATGTGGTCGCACTGTAACACGCTGCATTACAATGTGTCATGACTGACACCAGGAAGTGGTTAGCAGATAGAGTTTCATGTCTTGTGCTAAGAAGTTTGAAATATGGTTACCCCAAAATGTCAAACTAATCCTCTAAAAATACTTCGTGTATTGAGTTGCAGAGTCGTGGTAGTATGTTCTGTAGTAGTTCTGGAAGTGTTCTTTAATGATATCCCTAGTGTTCATTGACCCAGAAACACAGTTTAATTATTTCAGCTTCTTTTCTGAGGAAATAGTGTTTTTTTCAGTTTGATATGGCTGATGGCTCTAAATATTATAATACCAAACCATACGTAGAAAACATTGTTTCAGTGTCACAATTGGAAACTAAACACTGCACCACAGCTGCCAAATTAATCCAACCCGAATCTGAAAGCGGACGGATTTAAACTGCTGATATGACTGATTGTTTTACCAGGTTTCTATGAAGTGCTTTAGCTCTCCACTAGCAGCTTGAGAATTTGAAGCTTTATGATTGGATGTTTCATAGTAAAGTGCACCAAGGGAGTCTTCGTTGACTGTACATAGGGGTGTATCTTGGGTTTTTGTCAAATAATCATTCTAACACAGTTATTCAAGTTTTATATTCATTTAACTGAGTTTCATTTCCATCCAAGCCTTGGAAGTGATCCAAATGTCAGTCACCTGACAATGTGGCTACAGAAATGAACAATTGATTGATTGATTATCAAAATAGTTTAAAAAAAAAAAAAAAAAAAAGGTTAAAGCAACATTATGAAAGATTTGGTGTTTTTGCGACTTGGCACCCCTACATTTTCAGAGTGTAATTCACCGCTGTCGTAAATAAGGACAGCTGTACACGTCTGCCATGACATCCATCTTTAGAATACAGAGCATGTGTATGTGTGAGGTTCTCAGTATAGTATGTGAATGATTTTATGTGTATGTGAGAGAAAATAGCCACTCATACTCCAGGCCCGGCGTGGCAATGGCAGAGATGCCTTTCTCCCTATTACAAGTCAGTGTGCCATCAAGATTATTTATGAAGCTGTTATTTTAATTTTCTATCAACTAATCATTTCGGCTTTGACATTTTTTAATTTAAGTTAACATTTATTAACTTCAGTCATACATTTTCTTGCTTCTGCAGTAACTTGTAGTTGAGGATTAGTGTTCATTTGTGGTGTTTTTGGCTTGCCAAGGTCAGATCTCTGGCTGACCGTGCTCATCCCAACAAAACTAAAGCTTAGAGTAAGGGTCTGATCATTGCCATGTCAACAACCTCATTACCCAGCACCCCCTGCTGTGGCTGCTTACCAGAATTGTAGCATGTTGTCCTCACGGAAAACTGAACAGATACTGTCATGATGCATTAGCAGACGAAGGCACGCACGCTTTCCCCCCTAAACATGCACAGAATTAGTTTCAGTAAATAACAAATGTGTGCCGTTGACCTGCAGCATCTTTGGGATAACAATACACACACACAAACCCGTCCTGCTTTGGCCTCCCTCAAGTGTCATCATGTTTTAAACCACAGTGCTCAACAGTGGGCGACAACACTCACTGCTTCTTTGTTTCCTGTGTGGAAGATAAGTATGCAGCCGCACAACCACTTTATGGCTAAGAGGGAAGAAAAAGTGACTAAGAAAGTGTGAAGAGAGTGAGAGAAGGATAAACAGGAGGCAGTAGACTGCAGAGGAGAGAGAAAAGAGGACAAAGTTGGTTAATAAGAGAGGAGAGACATTGACATTGGGAGAGAGGAAAACACTGGGGATTTGTTACACTCTTTCACTTTTGTCTTCATACATACGGACACATTTGTACTCTCATTCTTGTGAGGACCCTCATTGACACAATGCATTGTGTCAAACTGGCAAAATCCAAGGACAGAACTGGCAGTGCAGCAACAGACAGAACACACATCATATGGCAATGACCGGACGGGGACTGAACAGAAAAACCAAACATATATACACCAGGGACTAACAAGCGTGGCGGGAGCAACACAGGTGACAGCAGGGGAAACAGAGACAGGCAGGCAGAGAGACAGCAAGGGAAACAGAGAGACAGGGAGGCAGAGAGACAGCAGGGGAAACAGAGACAGGCAGGCAGAGAGACAGCAAGGGAAACAGAGAGACAGGGAGGCAGAGAGACAGCAAGGGAAACAGAGAGACAGGGAGGCAGAGAGACAGCAGGGGAAACAGAGACAGGCAGGCAGAGTGACAGCAAGGAAAACAGAGAGACAGGGAGGCAGAGAGACAGCAGGGGAAACAGAGAGACAGGGAGGCAGAGAGACAGCAGGGAAACAGAGAGACAGGGAAGCAGAGAGACAGGGAGGCAGAGAGACAGCAGGGGGAACAGACATAACCTTGGTACTGGACACTAAACACAGACATAAACTAAGACACAGAACTAAAATGCAGAACTAAACCTAAGATACATGACAGGAAAGATGCTAAGAGAGCAAAACAGAACATGCATATGAACCATGGAACAAACAAGGCTAAACATAGACTAACTGCTAAACTACTAACGTCTAAACTAAACAGGACAGCAACAGGGAGTCTAACGCAAGGTGTAAGCAACAAAACAAACAGGGACCGAAGTAATAACACAGAGTGGATAAGGGAGACAAGAAACAGGACAACGCAGACAAACTCAGACAGGGGACTAGGATAACAGAAACTCAACTGACCAAAAACTTAATGTGCTAAACTTAATGTAGCCGACAGGCAGAATGTGACATTGATACACTGTTGTTATAAAAATATTGAACATAGTAGCTTTAACCATCACAACTACACGACTAAGCCATAACCCTTTCCTTAATATGAAAGGATCAATTTACCTTAGCCCTGCAGATAGTTTGTTTCTAGCTCAGGTTTTAAAGTGTTTATTTTGGAATAAGCTTTTACATAATGTGCTGTTTGTTTCGGCTCTACGGATTGCAATGGTCCATCAGTCTGTCAGAAGTGAGTGAAAGGTCTCAATAATTATTAGATGGATTGCCATGGAATCTTGTGCAGACATTCATGATCTCCAGACAATGAATCCTACTGACTTTGGTCACTTTTCCTTTTGTGCTAGCATGAGACTGATATTTGTGTTTTTTGATATCTCTACTATTGGATGGATTGCCTTGAATTACTGAAATATACCAATACTTTGGTTTATGACCAGAAACCTCCAAAACAAGTCGCATTCCCATCAGGTGCCTCAGCTGTACTTCGTGTTATGCTGAATTAACAAATGTTAGCATGCAAACATGCTAAACTAAGATTGTGAACATGGTAAATATTATACCTGAATAAATCAGCATGTTAGCACTGTCATTGTGACCATGTTAGCATGCCCACGTTAGCATTTTGCTCAAAGCACCACTGTGCTTAAATGCACCCTCACAGAGCGGCTGGCATGGCTGTAGACTCTCAGTCTTGTTATTTGCTATTGCTAGTTTTTTTGTGATGTACAAGCTATTATGTTGCTGTTGTTTCCAGCTGTGCTGTTTTTTACTTTCTTATAATTATTATGGTTACTTTCATACTTTTTAGGTTTTATATTGCTTTCATGATTCCAGCTATGTATTGAAAAATAATTTCTCGATTGTTATTCAGATTAATCAATTAATCCAATTGTCTGCAACAAGCAAACCAAAGAAGACACAGAAAAGCAGCAAACTCTCACATATGAACAAGCAAATTTACATAGAAAACATATTTTCTGTGTAAACCCTAAATGATGAACTTTTATAATACATTTGAATTTGAAGTTATAAGCACTGTATAAATATTTCAATTCACAATCACAATGATCAGTAAGAATATTTATTATTATATGTCAGAAATACAGACGTCAGTTGTTTCCTGCACTTTAGTCTGTCATGAGAACGTGGTACATCCCACTTGCTCTGAGGAAACTTTAAGATTTACTTCCATTCTCTTCCATGATATTTATTGTGAACATATGGAAATCTGAACCCCCCCTGAATCCCTATGCTCTTGGAAATAATTGTCTTGAGGCTGCTGTGTGGAAAGTTATTGCTTCTGCTTGTATTGTTTGGTTGGAAAGCCAGATGACAGAGCAGACATGAGAACAGAAACATGGAGAAACTATCAACATTGAGAGGAGGAGGGAGCTGTGCATTTCAGTACTTACAGAGAAGGAAAACATAGACGAGAAACTGAACTGACAGAGCAATGAAATGAATACTGCTGCAGCTGCCTTGCATGTTCAAAAAAAGAACATTTCCACAAATCGCATCAGAGGGGAATCTATCATATTGTTTCTTGCTTTTCCAGACCCGTTACTTTGTAAATGACATTCAGAATGTAGATTTGTGGTATGGCAGGTTTTTCTGAACAGCTGCCTATGAGTTTTGAGATGCTTTGGTCCATAAATGGAGGTGATACACATGGGGCTCCTCTGGATGCTTATGAATTCTCCAGCTGCTGGTGTGATTCATGAAGTGGCCAGGCTGAGAACAGGGGGCATGTGGGACTTTTGTAAAACCCAGGATTCCCTTGTATTCCTTCCTCCTTGTCTTTGCTGCCTGTACAGCAGCAGTGCTTGGTTGCATGAGAGCCCTACAGGGAGATGTTAATAGTCTTGAATATGCACCTCCTTTCTCTGGAACCCCTGTGACCTCATATTTAACTACCTCTTCGGGGCATACAAAGAATAGTCCCCTTCAACAAACAAGCAACATATTTAGGAAAGATTCGTATCAAACTGCTATTTCAAAGGTCAAGAATGAACCTTCGAGCAACAACAAATGTTTAAATTTGCTAGTATCAAACAACAAAATCTGGGGTAATCAGAAACCTGGCCAATACATAACACTGTCTGAACTTAAAAGACTTGATATTGGCAAAGTAAAGTTCCTAAAACTAGGCAGGACCAGTGCGAGATGAGAAAAATGGAATCCAAATGGACCATGTTCAAAGCTCCTTTACAGAGGCAGCTGATCATTGGTGCCTTTGTGCAAGTAAGAGTTGCCAGTGTACTTATAGCAATTTTGAATTTAACTCCAGTCTGCCCCTGTGCCACAGCTCTGCCCTCTTAAAATAATTTTTTTTCTGCAGAATTTTTTAGAATAAAGTTCTTGTAGTGCTGCAGTCGGCATTAAGTCAACTATACTTTAACTATACGTTTATACATTACTATACTTTCACCATAAGATTATGGACCTTTTTCCTGGCTGACATGTCATGACAGGAAAAGCAAATGTGTAATCAATAACATTAATAACAACAACTGCATTCCATTTAGCTATGCTTTGCTATGTTGTATGCTGGGTCAATGTCATGGCTTACTGGGACACGTTAATGTTATTAGTTCCACCTGTGCTTTTCCAAAATGTCTGCTGTGAAAAGGGTGTATTCTGTTTAATTTTATATACATGGTTTTGCAGTGAATACAAAGTGCCTTTCCACCAATCCAACAAAAGAAGAAGGGAAAAAAAGATATTGCAGTGCTTTTTGTTTTGTTTTTGTGCATGATGTTTGGGATGTGAGTATTATAATTCACTTGTTCTTGTCAGCTCTAACCTGGTTCCACCTCTGAATCGCCACCCAAACCTCTTACTAAAATATCTGAATATCTTGTATAACTGAATATATATTGAATATCTTAGAAAACAGATTTATTTACATATTGAAGCTGGTGCTTTGCAAGATGTTTATCCTTCAGAAGGATTTGGGTTACTGATAAAACTTCTAATCAGACTGTCTGATATCAGTAAACACACATTCTACAGTACAGTATATATTCTAATTGGTTTTCTTTTCCTTCTTGCTCAGGTCCAAGGTGCGCACTTCAAACACCTACAAGATCACTGCCACCTATCATCCACTGTCACTGAATCAGCCTCTGCTCCATCCACCTTCACCCGTAGCGCTGCCTCGCACAGGAATCGTAGGCACCACCATCGGGCATCATCTCGTCTCAGAGTCCACCAGACTACCCCTCTGGCCTATGAGGAGCCGGATGAGCAGGAGCAGTGGGCTGACCAGCACCATCCGGATAGCTGGAGGACCCAGTGGAGGGGTCACCAGACTGGCTCCCTCTTCTCTCTACCCAACCTGGGCTCAGCCAGCTCCCGCTCCACCTGCTCCTCTCCTGGGCCTTCTCCCAGCCCCCATCACAGGAGCCACTCTCTTAACAGGAGCTCCTCCCTCATCCCGCCCTTCCGGCTCAACGTAGACGCTCTGATTGGAGCAGAGGAGACGGATGTGGACACAGGGAACAAAGTAGGTCCAGGCAGCAGTGTGGACCTTAGTGTGGTGTCTGCGTACATTAAATCCAGCCTCCCACAACCCTCTCGGCCGTTGTCGGCACCGCCAGAAGACATCAGATCCTCCCTCTCTCCTGGCATCCCAGAGGACCCCTACAGGGCAGCCACATTGGGCCGGACTCCTAACAGCTTCATCACCAACAGCATTCCCTCTAACTTCCAGGGGTCACAGATCCAAAGAACCAGTGGGAACACAAGTGCTGCTCCATCCCTGAGCGATGTTTCCATGAACCAGTCTGACACTTGCAGCATTATTAGTGTCCCAGTTGAAGAGACAGACAAGGTAGAAGAAGAAGACCAAGAATTCTACATTTGATCTATTGTTATAAACTGAGGGGATTCACTCTGGTCAGTAAAGACCACCAAGACAGCTCTACCCTGCCCCCTGGTGTTTGATAGCAAAACTACAAATTACAGTGACTTTAAACTTGAGCTCAGCACAAACTGTATTTGATGTTCTCCTGTATTTGTGAATGTATTTTTCATATAGATTTAAGCTTTGTAAATGTCAGGTTATATAAGTAAATGAAATTACATGTTTAAAGGACCAATCACATAACTGTGTACAGACACTATTCAATAAATGTTTTTCTCCATCACGTGTGCTACACATTACCCATAATGTAACTTTCCATCCTTGACTCTCCGTTTTTAAGTGTTTATTTGAACAGCATTTATGGTTTGAGCATTAATGTGAGAATATAAATTAAACTGGGTTAGGCAGATGACTTGCAGTGCTGGGAACTTGAAGTTTGACTCATAGCTCGGTCTTGCAGTTTATGGATTTCTTTATCTTGCAGTTGTGTTTAAGTTGTAAAAACTGTTGTGATTTGAGCTGCCATCCAAACACTTCAACTAAATGCACCGGTACTAAAAGTGGGGGGCACCAACATTTCTATGGCAGACATAGAGCCACGTAATCATTCATTTGGTGTTGTGTTTCTGTCATCTGATGAATGTACGTACAATTTACACTCTCCTTTTAGCTCTGGTTTCATTTCCACCAACTCCTGACCTAATTTTTACTTATGCTTCCTTTACATGGCAAGTTTAAAAGACAGGCTGCTTATTGAATAAGGGGAATGTGAAAATGTAAAAGGGCTTTTGAGGTATAGTTTGGTGGATAGTGAGACATCTTCATTACATGTATCCAACACAAGAAAAGTCAATTAATTTTCAAAGCACATTTAAAACCAACAATTGTTGACCAAATTGCTTTTAAAAATGAGTTAGAAATACAATCAGGTGGGAAAAAAATAATCACAATAAGAAGAAAACGTTCAAATAAATTATATTGTGGGTACAGAAAACTACAGAATAACGAAGACAGAATATGGCAAAAAATTTAGTCTGAATAACATTACAAAAAACTTGAAAAGTAAAAAGATGGTCTTACGATGTAAAAATGACTCAACAAGACTCATGAAAACATGAGCTAATCTCTTGCATGTGGACATTTTTTACCAGAGAGGAAAGTATTGTAATGCAAGACAATGCTGACCTCTTGTGTTGAACTTTGAGGTGAACGATTTAATTTGATAGGATCTCCACGTCCAGTGATTTCTCATGATTGCTTCTTGATTTTAAACTAATCTCTAAAATTATTTAGATTTAATTATTTATTGATTTAAGTATTTTTTCAGGACTCGTTGAAACAGCATCATGTCTGCTTTATTGAGGTCTATAACGCTCATCCGGGTCTGGGGAAATCTTTAACGACCTCTTGCTTCAGCTCCACCGTTTGAGCACTTAAACAGGTTTGAGTCTCCTTGTGAGGTCTCCATTCAGTCTGAAGAGGGAAATCTAATAATAGTGCACAGTGATTGTCATGGTGACGTCTTCTTGCAGCCCTTCAGAAGTGTCCTCATCATCAGCCAATCAACACAAGAGTGGTTTAATGAATCGCTTTCACGGTGCAAAAGTTATACATGAAGAAGTCTGGAAAACAGATCAGTCTGCAAGTTGAGATCAAGATTCCTGACACATTTTTACACTCTAAATAAAATATATACCCTTAACTTTTCTTATATATATAAGTCAACCATTCAATAGTAAGACCATCCATCCATCGTCAACTGCTTATCCTGCGTACAGGGTCGCGGGGTGCTGGAGCCAATCCCAGCTGACATCGGGTGAAAGGCGGGGTACAATCTGGACAGGTCGCCAGTCCATCGCAGAATAGTAAGACCACCAAGTATTATTGACAGTGTCGGCGTTATCTAGCAGAAACCTAGCAGAAACATCTAGCTAAAAATGATGATAAATGTTGGAAAGGTCCAGCTTCACGAGACACTCTGAATAGTGAGATAAATTCCTGCCCTGCTGTGTCTTGTATGAATTCCCTTGTGTAGACATAGATCAGCCAGCAACTGTGTTGTCTCGCCTTAAATTGCAGTTGAACAGTTCCATGAAGTCCATCCCATCTACTGAAGGTGTAGATAATGGTACTCACTCATTTGATAGGGCTATGGAGGTATATCAGACCTAATTTGCCCAAATGTGTTTCAAACTGATGTTTGATTTAAAGTTTGTATTCTTCACTATTCCAAAAAAAAAAAATCTATTATAGCAAACATTATGAATTTTTGGGTGCCTAATTTTGTCATTTAATTAATTGTTTGGTTAGGTCTAAGCACCAATGAGCCAGTGCGGTAATGATAGCAAACTGTAAGTGGCATAATTACTGACTATCTGGAAACAACAATAAAATTGATAAGGAACAACCACTCTTGCTTAAACACAACTCAGATAATGAAGTCCAAAACAAAACAGCTGAATACAGCTCTTCTTAGTGCCTTATTATTTACCCAAAAGCTTTACATGTGCAATGCTGTGTAGTGGTAGCAAAGTAAAACCTAGTTAGGTGGACATTATGCAATAAGTGCTAAATGAAATGCAAGTAGCCTAGACTGTAAAGTTGTAGGGCAGTTATGTTATGGATTAGATGATGTTGAGAGTTGTATGAGTCCACAGTAAGAGTGTTTGTATTAGTCTGTGAGGGGGAAGCCTGACGGTTCACCTCCCAGAGAAGACTGGTTGTAGCCTAGAAGATGACTATGATGCTATATAATGGAGAATTTAATTCTAAACGTTTGTTAAAAATGTACCTCAAGATTTTGACCCTGTGACACTAAAACATCCACTTACCTACACATGATAAAAGATATAGATTATTTACAGTTTAAAATACTACCACATAGGCCTGCCATGCTTTAACATGTATATCCGTCAAATAAATCTGGAAGCCTATGTTGCCTACTTTATATAGACATGAATGTATTTGGTATGTATGTTTATTTCAGGTATAAATAGCCTGTGTGTATTGAAGATACTCGCTTACGGCCATACCACCCGGGAATACCAGGTGCTGTAAGCTTTTTGCTCTCATCAGCAGAGGGCATTGTTGCTTTTTTAGTGGAGACCTTTTTATACAGGCCTACAGTTTGTTATTCTCTCACTAACCGATTGTACGTTGACTGGACATTGACGGACAACAATGTTAAACCTTTTTCAATCAAAATTATTGCCAGTGACAATTCAGTAGTGGCTATATTGGTAGGAATAACTAAACTAAATTCTATACCGTAGCCATCACTATGATGAACAGTTAAACTGCATGTCAATAACCCTGTAACACAGTGACCATAAACAAGTACAATAAAAAATACCACCCGGAACATGCCGGATCTTGTCTGGTCTTAGAAGCTAAGCAGGGTCAGACCTGGTTAATACTTGGATAGCCTGGGAATGGCCCATGACCCCTCCAAGCCCCTATCCTGGGCCCTGATCACCTTGGGAAAAAAGCAAAATGAACATCTCAGCAGGAGAGAGGGACGGGCCAAATGGAAAGAGAGACCAATGTTTTCCCCCTTCAGGACATCAATACTGTCTTGTTTACCTCTGAAATGGTTTACTGTTCTTTTTTATGTTTTTGTGAATAAGAAGACTAGAATCTCTGACTTGAATGTTTTATGAAGTATAATATGACGTCTGTCACATAATGTAACAAAAATGATGCTTCAATTAAAACAATAAAAACTGAAGTATGAATGGATGCACTTTACAAATAAACTTGAGACTTTTAGTTATATTGTTTGAAAGATCACTGAAAAAATCTAAGAAACTATATTAGGCTACTTGAACAAAGTGTAATTTGCTCATATCTGAGATTATTCACTCTATAGGCCCTATTAGCCCCTAATAGCCCCCATGTAAAATGTACACATAAAAGGGCCTTAATGGAATTTTAGAAAAAGACTTTACCTTACTGGTTAGTAATTCAGCCTCTGTTATACTCAATACAGTTTCATGTAACAGTCTTTAGCTGTATCTAGTGGACAACTGGGGAAACAGCAGTGAGAGGAATCATATATTTGGAAACATTCTTTTTTATTATTTGTTCAACAATATATATCTACATATCAGAAATAAATAAACAACAACAATAATAAAATATCACAGGCAACAAGGTAAACAGAATAGAATTTACATTAATTATTAAGTAATTTAGCAGAAAATATAGCAAAATAGGTACTAATAAGTTATTATTTACAGGATTTTTATATATTTACAAGATTTATACATGTACACATTGAGCAATATACAATATACGTACAATATATTTAAGGGGATGAGGTAATGCATATTTACATTCACTAAAAATCTTTTTTTCCCACTGTCTGATTTGAATGAGAAAATAGGTATGTGTTTTATAGATGGTAAGCTTTTTGCTCTCCTCAGCAGAGGGAGCTGCTGCTTTTTTAGTGGAGACAGGACTCAAGAGATCAGAGCTGACAAGAAACATTACAGAGGATTCACAATTACCTTGATTAACAAATACATGAATAAATTCCAAATTTAAAACGTAAACACATATATATTTAAATAAATAAAAAGATATAACGAATGGGGGGGAAATAAATGTTCACAAACATAACCTGCCTGTTCCACATCTTCCCTTCTGGTTGGCGTTACAGAGCACTGTACACCAAAACAGCCAGACACATGAAAAGTTTCTTTCCACAGGCCATCACTATGATGAACAGTTATTGTCAATAACCCTGCTATCATACCAAGCACAAATCATGCTTGCTACATTTAAAATTTCTGCTGTAGGTCTAATATTTATGGTTAAAATGACTGAAACCTGAGTCAACTAATAATCTGGTGTTATTCCTTGGATGTCTGTAATGACTGCTCTACAGAGCTACGTGCCTTGGATGACTGTCAGTCCTCAGAGACCTAAATTGAACCTTTAATGCAGAAAATAGCCTTTCACTTCAGTAACAAATGGCTGCAAATGGTGCTATAGTGTAACAGAAACAGGTTGAAAATGCTACAACTACTACATAACAATTCACTAACCTGATTCTTAGAAGTTTTACAAACAAAAACCTCCACAATTGAACTGATTCACTGTTAGTACCAACATGATCTAAGACCTTGTCCCGGCTGTTTTATTTCTCTTTGTTGCAATAGCGACTCAAGATACTTCTCAAACATGTAAGGGTATTTTCCATGTGTTTCTAAATGTGTGCATCAGCCGCTTTGTTGACACTCCCATCCACCTTCTTGTGCTCAAATTAAACAACCGCCAACA